GTCAGTTTGAGAGATAAATTAGACGAGAACAAGGTGAATACTGTAGGTAGCTTTAAGAAGACTAGTACAAATACAAGTGACATGTTGTATCTTCATAAGCAGTTTATATTGACTTTGCCAGAAGAAGGTAGGGGCTGAAGAGAGAGAGAGAAACAGTGTCTTTTTCTGGCTTTTTGGTTCTATAGTTCTGGTTATATGAAGCCTGACCAGTCACTGGTGCAGGGAATCTCTGCAGAGATCCGGGATAGAATGTTGTAATTCTGTAATTATTTGAAACCCACTAATAGCAATTGATCCATGTACAAGCCACAAAAAGTTAAGTACACTGATCCCTATGGAGATCAGTGAGATTTCTTTTGTGTGTTGTAGCCAACATGCGACAGGCTTGTTTAGGCGTTATTAAAGATCACATGGGGAATATTTACACACAGGTGCTTACATTTCTATTTGCAGTTATTATGGAAGCTAGATCATTCAGTTAAGAATAAAAGAGAGAGAAAAGAAAACGGTTGTTCTTGATATGCAAGAAATAATGCAGACACTGTGGGCCAGACAATGTGTGATTATAACAGACCCCGCACACTGTTCTTCCCCATAGCACTTCCTTTATTACAGACTCATTTCTGGTATTGGAGTCTAGTTGCAGAATAGATGTCCCAGGGGTTGGGCAGGTGAGTGAGCCAGATAAGAAAAAGTGGCAAAAATTCAACACCCTCAACCTGTGGGCCCTTTCTGCACTCTTACCCTCTGCTTTACATATGATCAGGGCAAATCCATTTTCAAAGAATGGCTCTTTTGCTGTCACATATGGTTTGATTCAAACCCATCTCTAGACAGCTTCATTAGTGCAAACTTTAAAAAAGTCTTTCTGGCTCACACCAGAGGCCCATCTAGTCTAGCATCCTGTTCTCATAGTGGCCAACCAGATATCTAGAAGACATCTGCAATATGTACCTGAGTGCATCCTACACTCTCCCCACTTGTTGTTGTTGAGTGTATCTTACACTCTCCCTCCTCCTCCTCCTCCTCCTCCTTCTAATTTATATACCGCCCTATACCCGGAGGTCTCAGGTAATACCAACAATTGGCACACAGAGGTAGAACATATCCATTGTGGCTAGCATGTATAACTAAAGTTAATCAAATTGAGCTTCTTTGAAAGTATCGTGCTTGAAAAGTGCTAGAAAGCTACTTTTACACATTTGACCTCTTGAATTGTTATCATAGCATGTGCAAAACTGCAGAATAATCTTGTAGTTGAAGATAAAATGCCTATCCTTTGGTAATCTTTGCTCTTAATCATGTGACAATTGTTCCCTTATCTTTTCCTCCTCCTGTGACATTTTCTGCTGTACCATCCTATCATAGTTTGCATTAAATAATATCCAAAGGTCATAATTTTAAGAGTATTTGCAGTTTATGGGTGCAAATTATGGACAGCTAAACTACTGGTGCAATGATAGGAGTGAGGCCTTGTCAGCATATAACACCTGTTCTCAGAGATCTGCAGTGGTTGCCGATTTGCTACCGGGCCAAGTTCAAGGTGTTACTATTAGTATATAAAGCCCATAAGAACTTGGGACCAGTTTACCTATGAGATCACTTTACTTACCCTATATAAGCCCTTTCAGCCACTTTGATTGGCAGAACTCTCGCTGTTACAGGTGCCACATAATACATGTTCCACACTTGTTGGGATGGCCAGGTTGCTAAGGGTCAAAAGAGATGTACACTGGTACCTCGGGTTAAGTACTTAATTCGTTCCGGAGGTCCATACTTAACCTGAAACTGATCTCAACCTGAAGCACCACTCTAGCTAATGGGGCCTCCTGCTGCTGCCGCGCCACCGGAGCAGAATTTCTGTTCTCATCCTGAAGCAAAGTTCTTAACCCGAGGTACTATTTCTGGGTTAGCGGAGTCTGTAACCTGAAGTGTATGTAACATGTCTTATAGCATGTGTATATAGTGGTACCTCGGGTTACATACGCTTCAGGTTACATACGTTTCAGGTTACACACTCCGCTAACCCAGAAATAGTGCTTCAGGTTAAGAACTTTGCTTCAGGATGAGAACAGAAATCGGGCGCGGCGGCAGCAGGAGGCCCCATTAGCTAAAGTGGTGCTTCAGGTTAAGAACGGACCTCCGGAACGAATTAAGTACTTAACCTGAGGTACCACTGTATGTGTTTCTCTCTCTCTCTCTCTCTCTCTCTCTCTCTCTCTCTCTCTCTCACACACACACACACACACACACACACACACTCTTTATGTGGGCTGGGGGATAAGTGGGATCATCACTGGTGTGGAGAGAGGTGGCCTTTTTAATCCTTTGAGCCTGCTGCATTCCTGTTCAGAATCTTCCTTCTTACCCCACACTGGTTATTTACGGCGAGAGGAAAGCTTTGGCCCCAACTCCGCTCCCAGTCTAGCAGCGGGATTTGTTTTTATCAACTTTTATGTGCAAGCTTAGTAACTCAGCTATCTTCTGTAGTAAACTGAGCAATGTATATTGAGCATTTAACTGTAATGGATGTTCGTTTCCTTCACATGGCCAAAGCAATTTTATAGTGTGGTTCTGAGCTGCTTTGGAGCTGATTCTCAAACAACCTTGTAAAGTGAAATAAACTCTGAAGGGTTGGAATATACTCTAATTATCCTGTATATAGTGGTTTATATAATAAGTTTTATAGTGAGTCGTTGTGTCATAGGTCACTGTTAATTACTATATGGAACTTCAGCTGACTCTGTGATGATGATGATACTAAAGAAAACAGTAGTTAGACCATTTTCCCCCTTTAGTTTTTTTTTTAAGCTACTGCAAAACTGCCATTCTAACTTGAACATTATGTGACAACTTTCCAACTTTCCAGGTTCAAATGTTGGTTATTGTCAAGGTCACAAGCAAATACTTTATCTTGGCATGTCCTTAATTTTAAATTCAGGTATGCTGCTAAACAATTAATTTGGATTTGCAGACTTTCTGAGATGAATCTGTTGATGCTAAGCCTGTTCTGAAATTCTAACTGGAAGATACTATGCCTTAAATTAGAGTATCTTTATTAAACCTGATAAAGAAAATCATTGTAGAAGGGATTATTATGTTACACCAGATGGACAGCTTGGCTTGTTGCCAGATTTCTCTCAAGTTAATAGTTTATCTGAATTATTCATGAAAAATAAATACTTGAATGGAGTTTGGGAAAGAATATTACATTTTAAGTTGATGGCAGCTTTTCCCATTTGTGAAAAGGTTGTGACTGTTATAATAGTCACAATTTTTCTAAGACCTTTTCACAGTTGTTATGCTTAAGGCTCAGGATTGCACTACATACTGTGCACAACGTATGTACATTTTGGGTGTAACATCAGAACACAAGAAGCCCTTCCTCCAAAGATCACAGGGTGGTTCACAGGATAAAAATACAAAATGAGAACACAAAATACGTAATAGAAACAAGAACAATCCAATAACCCCCCTCCCACAAACACATTTAAAAGGCCATGGAATGTTAATGAGCCCAAAGCCTGGCTTAAAGAGAAATGTTTTCACCTGGCACCTAAAGATATGTAATGAAGGTGCCAGGCAAGTCTTCCTGGGGAGACCATTCCACAAATGGGGAGCCACTGCAGAAAAGACCTGTTCTCATGTTGCCACCCTCTGCACATGAAGAAGGGCCTCAGATGATGATTGCAGAGTCCAGGTCGGTTCATATGGGGAGAGGCAGTCCTTATGCCTGTGGGAAACCTGCAAGCGGAATCCAAGCGCAAGAGCCCTCTCCTCTCCTGTGGTTTCCAGCAGCTGGTATTGGGAAGCATTACTGCCTCCAGCTGTGGGGTCAGAGCAATAGCCATAATGACTAGTAGCTTTCAGTACTGTTCTCCATGAATTTATCCAATCCTCTTTTAAAGTCATTTGAGTTGGTGACCGTCACTGCCTACTATGGAAGAAAGTCCCATAACTGTGCACTACACAAATAAGTACTTTCTTTTTTTCCCTTTTTTGCAGTGCATGTGAACTTCTATGCATGCCTACATAGAAGTTCAATAAACTAGCACTTTAGGGAGAGTGAATCTTTATCTCTAGGAAAGTTTGGCAGCTTCTGGGAGATTCTTACATTGGGAAGTAGTAAAAGCACACACCCTGCAATTTTGCATATTACAGTCATTTTATTATTGCATCATTCCCCCACACCCATTATGGTGGTGATGTGGAAGCTGCAGTATTAGCACAATTCCTTCCTCTGCCTTTGGAATAAACTGAGGAGCCCTAGACATGTTGGAGGAATCCAGGTTGTGGCTTCTCCCCTCCCATTGTTATTTCCGTTTCCAGGAAAGACAAAACTTGTGGGGGAAATGGCCCTGTGCTACCTTCTTTTTTAGCCTCTGAAGGAGTCGTGCAAAAGGAGCTCCCACAATATAATATAAGACAGAGGGACTCGGCATACCACTTCATTCTGATTAATATGTAGTTTGGTTCCAAGCTTACCTGCTTTAACAATTAACCCTCATTCTTTATCTATTTTTATGTAGTGAGGTTTTTATTGCATTGGCAGATTAACAGAAACCTAATCAATTTGTTATGTGCTCTAAAATATTACCTATTTGATTTACCCAGTTTACTGTTTTGTATGTATGTGGCATATAATAGCTGCAAGATCACATTTTATGTGCTTAACCAGGAAGTGCTTTTGCCTCTCAGCCAAAAGACTGTGAAATACAAAATCTTCTCTTGAGACTGATTAGCAATAATAGATAAAATAAAGAATGATGTGCACAATGAGGTACGGTTTAAATAGAGGAAATTGTAATGGGAAGTAGCTACATTGGTAGCAGATGGATTTGGTTCCTTTATCTTGTTGATATTGGAAATTCAAGACTAGCTAAACTCCCCTCACCCCCTTCCAGTTTCAACTTGAAAAATAAAGATAAAAGGAACAAAGTTGTTTTAATTTGCTGAAATACTGATATCCTTACCTTTTCTTTCACCCTTAAAAAAACCAGGCAATTTTTATGATTCCTACGAACCCCCCTCCAACATTCCGGAAGCCAGAGCTTTGGTCTGATGAATTCACTGATTTCGTGAAAAAATGTTTGGTGAAGAATCCTGAGCAGAGAGCAACTGCAACCCAACTTTTGCAGGTCAGTATTCAGCTGTGTTCCCTAGGGAAACTTGGATTTATGCCCCCAGCAGATGTAATCCAACAGAGTCTGGATGGCACCATATTGGCTATTCCCTGATCCAGAGAGACAGTTCTGGGAAACCTTTTCCACTTACCCAGCTTTCTTAAAAACTTAAAATATTTGGTATTGGTTTTAGTCACTGTTGAATTTTGCATGCTGCTCCCTCCTTCATTCTTCCTGCCCTCATTCTGGAACTCCCTAAACCATTTCTATCAGCTAGCAAATCTGAGTCTGCTTTATTTGAACTGTTTCTCCCTCCTTGTCCTCTCCAACCCTCTGCTTTCCATCTTTCCTTATTTTCCTGCTTACCTTTGTCATTCTTGAATACTTTTGTTGTGGTATAATTTTGGGTTTTAGTTCTTTTCTTCTGTGATAGCGGGCAAAAATACAAATCCAAGTGTGGCCCAACTTCATTTTAGTACTGTGTTTCTGCACAGGTAGCAAGCACACTGTCCTGTCCTCATGCAGCTTTAATTGTAAGCATGCTTACCTGGAAGTAAGCTTCATTAAATTCAGTTCTGGGTAGATATCATAGAATCGTAGATTTGGAAGGGACCTCAAGGTCCAACCCCCTGTGTTGCAGCTAAAGCATCCCTGACAGATGGCCATCCAACCCCTGCTTATGGTTAGGATATGGTTAGGATAGCACTGTAACTCTTTTTATTCTAGATGGAACTGAATTAATATCCCTGTACTGTTTTTCTTTTTATTTATACTTATTTGTAAAAATATTTATATACAACTGTATCATAAAAATATTATCACAGTGGTGTATAACAGCAGCAGCAGCAGCAGCAGCAGCAAAAATAAATAAAACCAGACAGTAAAATCATAAAAGCTAAAACAAGATGAAAGCCATAATTATTACTATTTTGGTTATTAATTGCCTTCTACAAGAAGTCTCAAGTTGATTTACAGTGAGAGAGATAATAAAATCAACACACAAAATCACATACAAAAGATTAAAAACACAATTACAACAATCTACTAGAAACTTATTTAAAGATAAAACAAGATAATCAAGAAAAAAATTACAACAGTACTTTAAAACATAGGTAAAGGTAAATGTACCCCTGACCGTTAGGTCCAGTTGCAGACGACTCTGGGGTTGCACGCTCATCTCGCTCTATAGGCCGAGGGAGCTGGCGTTTGTCCACAGACAGCTTCCAGGTGATGTGGCCAGCATGACTAAGCCGCTTCTGGCGAGCCATAGCAGTGCACAGAAACGCTGTTTGCCTTCCTGCCGGAGCGGTACCTATTTATCTACTTGTACTTGACGTGCTTTCAAACTGCTAGGTGGGCAGGAGCTGGGACCAAACAACGGGAGCTCACCCCGTCGCCGGGATTTGAACTGCCAACCTTCCAATTGGCAAGCCCTAGGCTCTGTGATTTAGACTTTAAAACATACTTTAAAACATACAAAGGTTAAAATACTAAAACAGATTAAAATAACCTCAATGATCATATGTATAAATAAGGCACAATTCATTGATCCAAATCCTCTTCCCAATGACACAGACATGCTTGCTATAAATTATTCAGCTAAAATTCACCCCCCCTTCAACCATAGCAATAAAAACCAGCAGTTGAAGAATGCCTGGGAAAGCAGGAGAAATGCCGCCACTGAAAAAGGTCATCTCTCATTACCACCCTGTGACCACAATAGTCCTGCAACCATGTTCCATGTGGCACGGGATATGGGGGGGAAGAACTTGATTTTATAGTTTACACATCTGATGCTGGGAATAAGGTGATATCTGTGCAATAAAAACACAGCCTTGAGGAGAGACATCCAGGCTTTGTGCAGAAAATGGATAATGGTGCATTGCTTGCACTAAAATGTGATTGTGTGGGAAGTTACTGTGCTGTAGTTACAAAAAGAGTTTGCTCTGACTTTTGTAAGAAAAAAAATCAGCAATATTTTTAGCAACTTTTAATAGCGAAGCAAAATATATTTTTGAGAGCACAGCCTATTAGGACATATCAACGACCATTAGGACATATCAAGAATCAAGAGCACAATTTATGAGCTTTCTCCTTTAAAAAACCCCCACCAAAAAACAAACAAGCCCCAAACCCTATGGGGCAGGAGTCCACTAATAAAGTCCCATCAGTGGAAACTAGCACAAGGGGACTTCCTCCATCTTCTCTCTGCATGCTCCTGAAATTGGCTCTTGGGGGTTGGGAAAAACCCCAGAACATTGTTCAGGGGTAGGAGAGGGGGACCATTCAATCTGGCAAGGTGACATGCTTGCCCTGATGGGTGGTATAATTGACATAATGCAACACTGAATTTCTCTCTTGGGTTTTTATTAGAAAAATTGGTTTAAAATTTTAATGTACAAATGTTAATAGAAAGAATAGGAAAGCAGGTGATCTATAAACAGCCATATTCACATTAGTGACAGAACACATGCCAGTTCTTAAACAGCAGTGTAAATTTTATTAAAATAGGTGGGTTTTCTTGATTTCTTCAATATCAGCCTGAGGGTTTTAATTTTACTTCATTTTTATTTCATCATTGTAGGTGGCCCAGCGCTCACGTAACTGTGGCTTAGCAAGAATGACAAACCATGGCGGTTCCCAGATTACACATTGTGGCTGTAGCACTTTCCCTCCAGTTCTGCTACCCATGGCTAACCATGGTTTGGCGTAATGTCACAACTTAACCTTGATTTGTAGTTTGTTTTCCCCAGACAAATCACAGGTGGTAAACCAGGAACAAACTTTGGTTACAGCTTACAGTTTGCCTGGAGCAAGACAAGCCACTAGCCTGGGTTTTGATGGAATGCTAAGCCAAACCATGGCTGGTGTGAACCAGTTCAGTGGCTCAGTGATTCAATTTATGTGGATCATTATATTGCCTGCTCTGCTTATGGCCACTAACTTGCATTGTCAGCTTGTTAAGATGAATTAAATACTGTAACTGAATGCATTAAAAAGTTTATTTTTCTATGTCAGGCTATCTTCTCTTTGTTTATTTACCACCTAATTCACATTTCCTTTGGACAATTATATCCTTAACTGTAAAGCAGTTGTGATTTGTAGTAACATTCTTCTCATGGTTGCTGTTTACCTAAACAAACAAAATGGAAAATCCTATTTAGCTGCAAAGCGGTTAAACAGATCATATGTTCTTTTATTCCAAATTTTAATTGCTGTCCAAAGGGAAATGTTCTTTCATGCACTGGTCTGTGAAGTTGATTGACATGTTGTTTTAACATGTTACACCATATTTATACTATATGTACAATGTCTGTGGGCTCCGTTTTGTATAACTATATAGTTTTATTTTCTAGCATCCTTTTATTAAGAATGCAAAACCAGTTTCAATCCTGAGAGACTTGATTACTGAAGCTATGGAAATTAAGGCGAAAAGACATGAAGAACAGCAGAGGGAACTTGAAGAAGAAGACGAAAACTCGGTGTGTGAGAATATAATTATCTATTTTGTAGCCAGTTCCATGGAGCTGGTTTGCACGTAGTACTAAACCATGGTTTAATGCTATACAGATTAGCCTGAGTGAAACATTGGACTCCACCCTCTTGCTTTCCCCCCTTGTGGGTTAGCATTGGGAATCCTGCTTTAAAACAAGCCAGTGGTTGCTAAATGAGCCATCTTCAAGCCATGGTTTACGAAGCTAGCTTGTTTAAAAAACCATTTCAGTTTTTTCTTCCAAAATGAAAATAATCTCACCAGCACTCCTCCCAGCTGTTCAGGAGGAGGAATACACAAGCTGATGCTTGCTCAGGCTTGCTGAGGTTGGTCATGCCACGCTAAGCCATAGTTTAGTGTTGCATATGAACCAGCCAGCATCTACATATTTAAATGATCAGTTGTGATCAAGAGAGTTGCCCCTGGGTTTTACTGAGTTTTATTCTTGGTAAGTGCCACATAAAACCCCAGATTGCAAAAGCAGTTTGTAGGTTTGTTGTAAGTTTTTAATTATTAGAAAGGGATGGGCAGTTGGCTCACAAGCAGTCTGGCTCCCTCCATTTTAGTGGGAATGCAATCTTGATATTTTACCCACATTCGGGAGCAGATAGAATCAAGAAGAAGAAGAAAAAAAGGGGGGGGGAAGTGATTGCTCAGTTTCTCATGGCCAAAACATAAGCATGCTTGAGATTGTAAATATATTCTTTCTCATAGAAAAACTACTATAAACAAAGGCATGGTGTGTGTGGACATTTCTAGTATGACCATCTTACCTGTACTGGCCCTTGTTTTAATAATAATTGGCCATACAACCTTTAAAGAACATGTTAGAGAATTAAATTTATAACCTTGCCAAATACAAGCAACAATTTGAGTAGATATCTAAGGGCTAATGGTAGTATAGCAGCAGTCTGTGAATGTCTATCAGTGTTTCGCGCTGTGTCTTTTGTGACTAGGTGACTAATCTTATCAGAGGTGGCTCAAAGCATTTACATTAGTAAATAGTTTTCTCCTGGTATCTGCTTTCCTTTTTGGCTTGATAGAGACTTCTGCAAAAAATGTGTGCATTCTTCAGTTTGCCAAGTAAAAGGGATTTGCTTACCTGTTCCTATATCCCAGACTGTCCAAAGTCTGTTTTGGGGACCTAATCCGGCCCGCCGGTCGGTTTAATCCGGCCCCTGTGGCAGTTCATTTCCTAAGGTAAAATCCTAAAAACACCTCATCAACTTCAACCCTAAAAAAAGCTCAACAACATTGGTTGGCCCTTTGGTCGGCCCTCATGGCCCTTCACTTCACCAAATCTGGCCCTCGTTGAAAAAAGTTTGGACACCACTGTATCCTATATTATTGGACTGCTTAGACAAGAGCATTTATTGTGACACACAGCATTCTCACCAGTTGTCATTCTATCTAGAGAGAGAACTTCAAGTAGCATGATCAGTGGTCATTTTTTCCTTCGCTGGACATCTTTTCCTTGAGGGCAGAGTTTAGAACCATTTCTTCGTCTATCAGACACGCTAAATCTTTCTTAGCACTTCCATTCATGTAATACTGAGAAATAATCACTATTGAGATACCGGATTTTATGAAAAGTTAGCTTGTGGTGCCTCTCTTATTAGATACGTTTAAAGAAACAGTTATGACAAACCAGCTGCAAAGTTACTTAAAACTAGTACCTTGGTTGAAGAAAAGGCTGCAAAATTTTGAGCTGCTTGATGTCAGGTTTCATAAATAAAATGAAATGATCTATTGCCCTTTAGAATTTTATTAGAGAAAAATAACCCGTGGTAATTATTTACCCAGAGGTGTAGCTGCATTAGTTTCTTGCAGCAAAAACAACAGTCTTGCAGACCTTACAGAGTAACACATTCATTATGGCATATTATTTCTGGGACTGCAATCCACTTCATCAGATAACACTTCATTTGTTAGTGCCACAAGCCTGTTGTTTTCAGTATATCGTATATCCTCAAAAGTTCAACTGGCACACCTGTAGTCTGGGCAACTTTTATAAACAAGTAGCAGTGACTACCTTCTTTGAAAGCTATGTGGAATATGGTCAATAATAGAGCTCATGAAGTTGAGTTTAGGCATGTTACAAGAATAGCTTGTCTGATGAGAATGTATTCTGACAAACTGACATGTTTTGATAGGTGTTGAGGTAACTTTACAGATTTTTTTAATTAAGTAAAAAGTCCAAGCTGAGTACTCTACAGAAGGTTAATCCCAATATCAAAGTTTAAATGTTGGTTTAAGCATTACTAAACATGATCTATCTCTTCTTTTATGCATTTTTGAAGTGTGATGCAAATTTGATTCTGATGTCAGGCAGCTGTATTATGGAAACGTAAAGCAACTCGTTGCCTGGCAGCGCCCAAGAAACATGTCCAAATATTTATTTCAAAGGATCTTTAAAGAAATGAACTAATAGTCAACTCTTACTGTATCCTTTTGCTTCACATTTCAATATCTACATTACCACAAGATTGTTTGAAAACACTTCCTAATGACAAAAATAAAATGCTGTGCTTTTTATGGTTAATAACTAAGAAAAAAAAAGCAGTTAGATTTATTGGTGTAGTATGCTTGCTACCATGTTACTAATTCCTACAGCTCAACTTCCTTATATATCTAATTACTTGATATTAACACTTGAGAGAGTTAGAAATCAGGGAAGTTTAAAAAGAGCTGAATCATCTTCCTGTTTCTAGCCTTCTTGTTTTGCCATCATGTTTTTCAAAAGTGTTTCTGAAACTATTATAGCTGGAAACCTACTTATTTTTAAGTCAGGCCAGGATACTTTGAATTTTGTGTGCCTTTCAAAAGATGTGAGTAAATATGCTGTCCAGTTGTGGTTTAAGGCAACCTTTTCTTATGAATTTTTTTCTTATGACCAGGAATTAATTTTTATTTTTAATAAAGAGCAGTAGTCCCCCTCCTCCACACCTTTGCTGTAGAGCCATATACATTTTATGGCTCCATTCATTTCAGTTTTTCTAAATGTTAATCAAATAATTGGATCCCTATTACTTCTTGAAGAAGAGAGAGAAATCAATACAATTTTAGCTAGCACTGAAGTGTGCCTATTATTACGATAGCTTGTAAAATAGTACAATAACTTTTTATGTGCTAATTGACAATAATGATTAACCTGCGGAAGTAGTGAATCTGATATATAGTTCTCTTTTCACTTTAGTATTTGTACAGGTCGTCATATTTGTTGAAAAGAGGTGTACTTGCTCAAATGTTCAGTTTTTAGAGCTCCTGAATTTCCTCATTTTTTATGCGATCATAGGCTACTCTAGTAATTTTTTTAAAAGCAAACTGTAATTATATTCACATTTTCCCCACCCCAAAGCAGTGATGAGGTGTTTATTGTATAGAGTATTAAATTTAGTTCTTTTAAGTCCACAAAGTTGTGCATTACACTCTACTTGTCTTTGCTGCCCTCTAGTGATCTTGTGTATATAAGACAGAGATTAGTTAAAATTGATACTGAGATCCAAGATGGATCTCAAATTCTTTTCTCTTTACTGGTGATAAGGGGTGGGTGGGGAGAGATACATTTTGTTAAATTGTGCTCTGCATTACATCTTTCGAGAATCTTCAGATATTTAGAAAGCAAGGTTCTGCCTGTTGAACTCATAGAATGAACATACTGTAGGGGAAGATAAAGGCTATCGGTAGCCAAGCTAACCTATTCAAACATTTTCCTGACTGGAAGATGTGCCAGACCCTAATAATGAACACAATACAAATTTATTGAAATCTCTCCTAGAATATGTGTCTTTGTATGTGTGTGTTTTTAAAAAGCACAAGTTCATCCAATCCATTAACTGTTAATTACAGTGATACCTCAGGTTAAGAACTTAAATCGTTCCAGAGGTCCGTTCTTAACCTGAAACTGTTTTTAATCTGAAGCACCACTTTAGCTAATGGGGCCTCCTGCTGCTGCCGGAGCACGATTTCTGTTCTCATCCTGAAGCAAAGTTCTTAACCCGAGGTACTATTTCTGGGTTAGCGGAGTCTGTAACCTGAAGCGTATGTAACCCAAGGTACCACTGTACTTTAAGTTACAGAACACAATTGTTTTTAAAGAATGTGCAGGAAGAACATAGGAAACTGCCTTATACAGCATTTCACCATTGGCCAATCTAGCTCAGTATTGTCTACTACTGGCAGCAACTCTCCAGTGTTTTAGGCAGCAGACATTCCCAGCTCAGCCTGGATATGTTAAGGGTTGAACCTGGGACTTTCTGCATGCAAAGGCAGACACTCTACCGCTGACCCTTCCCCAGCTGGGGTACCTCAGGAGAGCTTGAGACTCTTAATCTCAGGGTCATGAGCCCCACGTTGGGCAAAAGTTTCCAGCCTTGGAGGGGGTTGGACTAGATGACCCTTGGGGTCCCTTCCAACTCTACAGTTCTGTGAGTTGCACTGCATATAGCGGCCATCTTGACTGCTTACAACTGTATCGGGTCGAGTAATCAATTATGCTATCCTGTTTTCACTTTTTTTCTGTGCTGTTTATTTAACAAGATTCCAACTTTACATCAAGGCACTCAAATTATGTTGCCCTTTTGGCCCAGTGATCTAGAAAAGCATTTCCAAATTCCTTGTCACAAGAGACCAGGGCCCTGCGGGACTTGACATCTTTCCGCAGGGCCTGCAAGACAGAGCTGTTCCACCAGGCCTTTGGCCAGGGCACAGCCTGACTCCTTCCCTCGGCAATCTTCGCGGAGCTCTGGCCCAATGGTTGCCAGTGGCTTGAATTAATAAATTTTTATAATGAATGATTTTAGAATGTTGTTTATGCTGTACTTTTGTACTGTTTTATTGTTGTTAGCCGCCCTGAGCCCGGCTTTGGCTGGGGAGGGCGGGATATAAATAAAATTTATTATTATTATTATTATTGGCAGATGCTGTCATTGCTTTTATAGAAAATTTTGAATACTTCAGATCAGAAATAAAGAGTAGAGAGACGAGTTG